GCATAAAAGATAAGGCTGAAAAATCAGACCAAATTCCAAGTAGGAGAGACTGTATGAAAACAGTAGACATGGAGAATTACCAAATGTCAGCCTCCTGCTAGCTTAACCATACTGAAATGAAGCAAGCAGCATTCCCAGTCTAAGCCCACATAACCTGATGCAGCCAAGCAGAAGCAACTGCACCCATGTCAAGAACCAGAAAGGAGTGCTTCCCACCTTGTGAAAGTTAAGTGCTCTCACCTCACCCAGTGTGCTACTCCTAGCCCCTCATTCCCGAGGCCTATAAACCTCCAGTGATCACATTCTGGCAGCACCCACCACTGCCCCAATACCAGAGCTGGGAGCCGATGGACTAATAACACCCACCCCTTCACTCAGCTACTTGCACCAGGGAGCTGCAGAATTGCAGCACCAGCCTCTGTACCTGGCAACTGGTACCAGGTATCCACAGATTTGTGGGACCCACTTCTGTGCCACAGCTGCCTGCACTATGGGCCCACAGACAAATGGTACTTCCTACTCCCTCCAGCTATCTGTGCCAAGGGCTTGAGGACTGGCAGCATACCCACCTCCACATCACGTTCTAGCAGACAGGGGCATGCCCTCCTAGAGGGCACCTGTGAAGTACTGACATCCTTTTTCTTGCACCTTACACTGCCATGCCTGCAACAAGAGATTTATGCACACTCCAACCACACCTACTGTCCTCTTTTCCCAGAACTGTCAGAGAGTTTCTATAAAACCTGGTCAGTAACTGAGAACCCAACAACCCTCACCACAACCACCTAACAACCATCAATGTGTACACATAATACTCAACCCAGTTGCCAGTGCGAACACTCCCTCAACTCATGCTTAGGTGGCTAGCTGGATAGACACATCATCTCATCAGCAATGCCAGCTATAGCATCAGCTTCCCTCTAAGACCAGCAAACAGAAACCTGTGCTCACAATGTCAGTTGATGCCTTACCCTCCTGGAGACCAGTGATGAGATCTCCAATGTGGCCAGACTAGTGACCATAGTAGCACACATGCCCCACCTACTCAGATATATCAAAGCAAAACAAATCAGGATGCAGTAATAAACATAAAATAAATATGATAACATTGTAATGTCTCAGAGACAACAGGCAATATAAAATCACATAAACAACCAGGACAAGATGGTTTCAGTAAGGGACCAAAATAAAGGACCAGTAAACCTTCTGGAGGAAGAAATGGTAATGGAACTATCTGATAAAGGATTCAAAACACTAACATATATGTTTCTCCAAGAGATCAAGAAAGAAATCAAAGAAACCATTGACCAAAAAAAAAAAAAGAAAGAAAGAAAAGAAAACACAGACAAAGCAATAGAAGAATCCAGGAAAAGTATGCAAGAACAAAATGACAAATATACAGAGACCATACAGAACCAGCAACTATAAATCCAAAAGATTAGTAATAACATTTTAGAAATAGACAACTCAGTAGAAGGATGCCAAAGGGGCAGGGAGACCGCATCTTCTGACCTCTAAGACAGAATCACCATCTGAAGCCCAATGCCTATTCCTGTGAGGCCAGACATGTTGCCTCCCTCAAGCCCTTTTACCAACCATTCCTCCCACAGCACCCATCACCTCTCTACTTGGTTTGATAATTTGCTGCAGTGGCCACACAGAACTCACAGATTATGGGGTTTATTAGGGAAGCACCAGACTATAATTCCAATTCAGAAATGTACTCAGTCTCTTGCAGCTGGCCACCTTACTCAGCAGCCAGCATACTCAGTAGCACATTGCTCTCTCAGTAGTGCAAATCTCTTGTGTCTCTCTCTCAGCAGTGCCTGTCTCTTACGTCTCTCTCTAAGTAGCATATGTCTTTCATGTCTCTCAGGAAGATGTTTCTCTCAGTAGCATGTTCTTCTCAGTCAGCAGTCAGAGAGAATTCTTCTGACTCTGTTGTTGTTATGTGCCGTCGAGTCGGCCCCGACTCATAGCGACCCCTCCTTGGGTTTCCGAGGCAGTATCACTACGGAAGTAGGATTGCCC